TCAGCTACATAGCAAGTTCAAAGTCAACCTGGGTTGTGTGACATCCTGTCAAAAAAAAAAACACCCTGGAAGGGCATGGTGGAACATACTTTTAATTCCAGCAATCAGGAGGCAGAAGCAAGGCCATCCCAGTATACACAGTGAGTTCCAGAATAGCCAGGACTGCATGATCCCATCTAAAACAAACAACTTTAAAAAAAATATTGTGTGGGCATGTGGAGAGTGGGAGAGCTGACCCCACCCCTCACCTGACCAGTCAGAGAACTGGCTCCTGTGGGCACAGGCACAGGAGAACTGGCAGGCTGACCAACTCAGCTACCACTCAGACTCCCATCCAGGACTTTGAGTTGGCCCACCCCAACATCTTCCCCATCTGTAAGCTGCTGGAGGGTATAAAGGGACCAGTCCTGTGGATCCATAGCCAAGGATCCCCACAATTCAGGGCAACAGCCGGATATCTGAGAGTCTCCATGAGGGTCCAGTATTGCTGGTGTAGCAGAAGCCAGAGGCCTTGAACTAGACTAATGATTCATTGCAAAAAAATTCAAAAGTAAAGCTGTTTGGGCAAAAGGTATACTACATGGCACACCACAGCTCCCAATGCCACTCCAACAAATACGTTGGGGGGGGGGTGGAGGAGCAGAGTGGTACATGCACAGAAGGCTTCAGTTGATAGAGGACTATTTTTATTATTTGTTTTTATTTTATTTGGAGGAAAGTTTACAAGGGTGGTGGGCAGATATGGAAGGACTGGGAAATGAATGGGATTAGGGGCATGGTGTGAAATTCTTAAAGATTCAATTAAAAAATTCTGTTAGAAAGAAAATAGAACTCTCGGCTGGTCTGGGCTTATAATCTCAGCTACTTGAGAGGCTGTGGTAGGATGGCTACAAGCTCAAGTCACAAGACTTTGTGTGGAAATATAGAAGTAGAAAAGAGATGAGTCATAGTTAGTAGTCAAGAACTTGCCTGGTGTACATGAGACTGGTTCAAACCCCATTACCAAACGAGAGAAGGAGAGAGGGGAAAAATAAGTCTATTCCTCCTTCCCACCCTCCATCCTTCCCCACCTCTCAGTGCTGAGGATAGAACTCATGCATGCATGGCAAGCACTCTATCACTAATCTCTAATCTCATCCATCTCCCAAGAGGTACTCCATGACACAGTCTCTCACTTCCCATTATCCCCATTGCAAGGGAGGCTGGGAAATGTAGTTTTAAATTCTGAGGTGGCCTTACACAGTTATGGAAGAAAGAGAAATCAATGTTGCCCATGCCTTATGAAGGAAGTATAAGGAAGTGAAGCTGGAATGGCCAATGGGGTGGGGGGAGAGTTTAAGCAACTCTTAAAATGATCAGAATCTTAAAAAGATATTAATCACCTCAAGGTCACACTGACAAGCTGCCCAGACCACCAAATTTTCTCTGCTCAACTACTTAACACATCTGGGCAGTCTAGAGATACCCATCAATGCCAACTCTACTCTCCACTTTCTGCACACCTGTGAACATACTTGCTTGACTTCCTGCACTCTTTCCTTTTTCTTCCCTTCCTTCCTTCCTTCCTTCCTTCCTTCCTTCCTTCCTTCCTTCCATAAATCTTTGCTGAACAGCTCCTACCTGCCAGGCATCAACCCAGGCACTGCAGCTGGAGCAATAATTGATGGACAGGACTCTTGCCCTGCTGGAGCCTACATTCTGATGGGTCAGACAGACCACAAGCACATAAGCACATTAAGCATTTGTTCTGCCAGGACAGATGTGCTATGGAGAACACCAAGGGGTAGGGAATGCCTAGGTGGGAACATAGCTCTAAGTAGGATGGTCAGAGAAGGTCTCAATGCTAAAACAAGGCTTGCAGAAGGTGAATAAACAAGCAGGTGGGTGTCAAGGGATGTAACTCCTCAGTCAATGCAAAGGAATTATAGGGGACCATGGCTGGGACAGAAGAAGTAGAAAGTCTAGTGTGCCTGCATCATGAAGAGTAGATGAAATAGGGGGATTTCTGCTGTAACTTTTGCTTTAGAAGACCCACTCCAGCCTGGGGGCAGTGTTGTAGACCTGTAATCCCAAGACTTGGGAGGTGGAGGCATGAGGATGAGGAGTTGATTTCAAGAGCAGCCTCAGCTGCACAGTGGGTTGGAGACCAAGCCTAAGCTAACAAGACTGTGTCACTAACAACAACTAAAAATATAATAAAGGCTCACTCAGAGTAAACCAGGGCCAGAATTTGATCCCAAGTCACCAATGGATCCTTAAATTGGTATATTTCATAAAATATAGTCTGTTTTCTTTTCTTTTTTTTTTTAAGTTGTTTTTTTTTTTCCTGTTTGAATTGCTTGGTCACCCTATCGACTCTTGCGTTGTAGCAGCAGTAGTCACGAAATTGCTGTTGACTCACTTCTGCTCTGAAAAGACAAATCTTGGCTTAAAAGTAATTAATGAAAGTATGCCAGCTGGGGTTGGGGAAGAGCAATGGAGTGTTCACGCATGTGCGTGCACATGCTCAGAAAAGGAGTGTGCCTTTTACATGTGGTCCTGTGTGAGTGTGCAGTCTATGTGTTCTTTGAACCATGGTCTATAGGTGGGCCCAGCACAACACTCTCTCTCTCTCTCTCTCTCTCTCTCTCTCTCTCGTGTGTGTGTGTGTGTGTGTGTGTGTGTGTGTGTGTGTGTGTGTGTTTGTGTGTGTGTGTCTGTCTGTCTGTCTGTCTATAGTATTGTGAATTATATTTTCAAAGGCTCCCTGGCTCCCTAAAGAGTTCTCACAATGGACCCAAAGCTCTGATCCTGGCTACCTTTTCATTTGTACTTCTCACAGCTCCTCCCCAGGCTCATTCTGTTCCAGCCAGGCTGACTTCGCTGGCATGGATATACTTGGCACAGTCCTGGATCCTTTGCCCAGGTTTTTTCTTCCATCTAGAATGCTCTCCACCAAAACAGGCATCTGGCAGGCTGAGACAGAAGGATCATGACTATGATGACAGCCTGGGCAATGTCATGAATTCCGGGAAAGCCTGGCCTGCTTAGGAAACTCTGTCTCAGAAACAACAACAACCATTAGAATGGTCTCTGTTAACACTTTCCCATCTCTCTCCTTGCTTCTTTCAGTCTCTGCTCCTCTTGACATAACAGCCAGGCCTTCCCAGGCCACCTGCCCTCTCCATTCCCTAACTCTCTACCCAGCGATCTGTACTTTTTTAAACACATCTGGCCCTTGCCCAACATAAGTTTCATGAAAGCAGGAACCAGTCTGTCTTACTCACTATTTTAACCACTTCCTGCCTGCCCCATACCTAGAATACATTCTGACACCAGCAAGACTTTGATAAATAGTTGCTTAGAATAAATCTCTCCCATGATCACCCTAGTGTGCATCTATCCTGGCAAGGGATAAATATGTGTGCTCATCTGCATACATTGCTATGCCTGCCTGAGTCTGGACACCCAAGTGTCTTGGCGTGGAGAGGTACTCAAGACTGAATACAGACAGCAGGAGAGTAGCCAAAGGATGCAGTGGCTTCTGAGAAGGTGGCCGAGGTGGTTTGGGATACCCCAGAAACCTTCTGTTTTGTTTTACCAGAAACATGTGACCATGATGGTCACTTCATTCTGTGTCAACACTGACTTGCTTATAGGGAACAGATAGGAGAATTCACCCAACCCTGGGGTATCCATGGGGTCCCTCTGCCCTATCTGTTTCCATAATTGTCCACATTTCCTCTTTGAGCCCTGGCTTTCAAGAGCCCTGATAATCCAGAAAAAAAAAAAAAAAACACCCAGCAAATGGGCTAGTGGAGGACAAATGGAGCCTGTGAGATTCACATTTGCCTCCACTACAGTTTAGATAATTAGTGTCCCTAGAGCCTCACTGGCTAACACCCCAGGTGTCTCAGCCACAGGTTGAGAAGCACTGTGCTCCTTCCCTCCCTTTGGCTCTCAGAGTATTGAAGTCGTAGACCTCCAAAATTTGAATTTCCTCAAGAATCTCAAGTTAGGAGAAGACAAAGACTAAAGCCAGAGACCAACCAGAAGGAAAAACTTGTCTCCCAGAAAGAGATTTACAACTTTTCAGAACATCTTGCAGGAGAGATTGGAGCCAAAACAATGATGGAGCAATGGTGGGCAGGACCAAACCTTGACCAAGGCTGCTTAGCTATGCATAACTCTAGCTCTCTACTTAAAATTAAGTGTCCTATCAGGGCCCCGGAGATGTACTTGGGTGGGTCCCTGGATGTCTTTGTCCCTCTTCCTAATGTGGCCATATTGACTAAGGCTTCTCTTTCTGCTTTTGACTGTTACTTATTTCATTGGCATAGTTTGGACCAGTGGCCAAACCTAGCTTATTGGGGCTCTGGCGCCTAGGCTCTGACCTTAGTGACTGTGGTAACACCTGAACCAAATTAACTTTTTTTTTTCTTCTGTGTTGGGCTCTCTCCACCGCTGAGATCCTGAGTCCTATTTAAACTCTTTCTCAATACCCAAGCGCAGATGTGTCTCCTCCACTCCAGCAGGCCATGTTAGCAACTCAACCAGGTGACAGCTGTGCATCTCACCACCTGGCTATAGCCACAGCGCTAAGCCAGAGCAGCAGGTGCTGGCTGGCAGCGGCCATGCGCATGCGCGATCCAGGGAGCTTATACCACGCCTGCGCAGTCTGTCTGTCATGGCGGCTTCCTGAGTCCTACGGTGAGGGACTCGCGTGGGACTCCAGCCCAGGGTCACGGCGGGTAAGCGCCAGGGAGAGGCGACGGGACCGGGCAGGGCCCAGGGAATGTCTTGGCTTTGAAAGCCAAGCTTCCACAACCTTGAAGCCTGAACCCCAGTTCCGCCCTCAGCATCAGTTTCCCCTTCTCTAAGGGATCTCTCTCGGCTTCCGTACTGAGTGAGGCAGTCCCACTTGGTGTGGCATTCGGAAGGGAAGGCGGGTCAGTGACCGGCTCTTCACAGGGCACCCACGAGTCAGTGACCGGCAGGGAAGGGAGGCGGTCCCTGGAGCGCCCCCTGCGCGCGTGGCCAGCTTTTCTCACAGCCCTGGGCGCTCCAACTTCCTGGCTTTCCCTTATCCAGCTCCTAATTCTTGATTATTGAGTGGGAGTGCTTCTCACTCGACAGGGAGGAGGGAAGTCCTTTCAAGGCCACCATCCCAGCAGACTGGTTTGGGAAACAACACTGACTGCAGGCCCTTAAAGAAAGAATTCCTAGGAGGAACCAGAAACCCCTCCAGCCCTGACTTTCCCTGGTGGAAACTGCATCTGCTATTTCTAAGTAGAGAAACTGGTCCAAGGTCTTTCTTTATCCATCTTCCCAGCACTGTCTTCTATAACCATGATACTAGAGTTTACTTCCGAGTCCTAAAGGTATGCTTGTCTCATTTAATCCTCACACAGGCCCCAAAATAGACAGGAGTGCCTCTCTATTTCCAAAATGCTGCTTCCCAAGAGAGTCAGGGAAAAAAAAAAAAAAAAAAAAAAAAAAAAAAGATTCTCCTAAGCTAACCTGGGACTTCCCATCTCAGGCCACATTTCTTGGGACGCCTGCTTAGTTGAGACTTTTAAGTAGAAGAACTTGACTAGGAGTTAGCAATAAATTTCTTTCCCATTTATATGTAAGACAAGTTGGACTTTGCTTCCCCATTTTCAGAAAGTGCGATGAGCATTCACTCTCTAGGGTGTAATTTTTTTATTCCAGCAAAATTGCACCATAGCAACACATGCTATCCTTTAATTCATGTTCAACGTTGCCAAAGACAGCAGGAAGGTTTTTTGTTTGTTTGTTTGTTTTGGGTTTTTTTGGCAAAATAAACAACAAGAACAAAACCCAAAGGCGAAATACTCTAGGCAGGAGGCTTGTCTTGCCTCCAGAATTAGGGGAGCCAGTCTTCCTCCAACCAGTCTGTGGGTGGGGCCTGGGCTGCATTTCCTCTGCCTGCATCTTGTCTGAGTTTGTTGCCAGTGGTTTTGCTGATGGCTGATACACATGAAATCCAGCATCAGTTTGGCTGATTTCCAGCCCCTGTTCACACAGCCTGCTTGTTTTGCTGGCTTATGTCGTGAAGGAAAAAGCAAGCTTGGAGAACAACTTTCTGTGTTGGTATCTTTGTCATTCCCTGGCAGTCATCTATATACAGGAGCTCCAGCTGTGGGTAGTTAGAACACGAAGACTTCTGAATTATGATAATAAAAGTAATTTTTTTTCCATCATCCAGTTTGAAGTCATGGAAGTCCCAAAAGGTCTGATGACACACAGCTAGTGCACACACCAGCCAGGTAGGAACTGTTCCTGTAGGCGGCAGTTAAGGTCAGGTTTAGACCAAGCTCAGAGCAAAGAAGTTGGTGTGATTTTACACCTGTTGTGATTGAAGCACTCTGCTCAATGCTTTACCCCACCTCCCTCACCACCACACTCCTGCATGGTGGGATTATGACAATAGGTCCAAAGAGGTAAAGTGATTTTGCCCAGGGTCCATATCTAGGAGGTGGAGACCATGGTTTATACCCAGTTGCCTAGCTTCAAAGCCCAACAAACAGCCACTGCTTAGTGCTCTGTGATAAGGCAGAACAGTTGGTTGGAGGATTCCTTCCTGTTTGCAGCCATTGTGCCTTGGATATGGCTTTCTCAATTCTAATTGTGGTATTATGGTTCTATAGGAAATGTTTCTCAGAGATAGATGGGGAAAGAATTCAGTAGTTAAATGTCATGCAGCTCACTCTTAGTTCAAGGTAGGTCTGTTAGGGAGGTGGTCTACTAGATAGGCAGATATGTATTATTAGATAGATGGTCTCTATTAGATAGATGATCTCTACTATTAAGTAAATGGTCTAGTATCACATAGTCTCTGTTGTTAGAAAATGGTATTAGGTAGATGGTCTCCATTAGATAGATGGGCATATATTATTAGATGATCTTTATTATTAGGAAGATAGTCTGTTATATATAGGATCTCTATTATCAAATAAAAGGTCTCTATTATTAAATAGATGGTCTCTAATATTAGATGATATATATTGTTAGATATGTGGTCTCTACAATTAGATAGATAGTCTCTATTATTAGGTAGACATGGTCTCTATTAATAGGTAGATGGTCTCCATTATTAGATAAGTGGTCTTTGTTATTAGGTAGATGGTCTCTATTATTAGATAGATGGTCTCTATTGTTAGATAGATGGTCTCTGTTATTAGGTATATATGGTCTCTATTATTAGTAGAGATGGTCTCTATTATTAAATAGATGGTCTCTATTAGTAGGTACATGGTCTCTATTGTTAGGTAGAGGTGGTCTCTATTATTAGGTAGATGGTCTCTTATTAGATAGATGTTATATATTATTAGATAGGGTGAATACACATGACAAAGTGCTAGTTTTCCGTCAATCCAGGTGATGGATATGTGATTGTTTATTACGCAGTCTCTTTAGCTTTCTTCTTTCTCTCTCTCTCTCTCTCTCTCTCTCTCTCTCTCTCTTTGGTTTTTTGAAACAGGGTTTCTCAGTGTAGCTTTGGCTGCCCTGAACTCACTGTATAGACCAGGCTGGCCTTGAACTAACTCCGAGATCCTTCTGCCTCTGCCTCCCAAGTGCTGGGATTAAAGGTGTGTACCACCACTGCCTGACTCCCCAGCTTTCTTGATTGAAAAATGTAGGTAGTACAGACCTGTCATCCTGCTGAGATCATAAATTCAAGGTTTATCTGGACTACAGAATAAGTCAAGACCCCCTGTCTCAAAATAGAAACAGGGCTGGGGATATAGTGCAGTGATGGAGAGCTTGCCTAGCTGGTTAGAGGCCTTGGGCTCAATCCTCAGCACCACAGATGAGAGAAGAGGGAGGGAAGGAAGTGTAAAGGGTCTTGTCCAGGAAAGAGCTTCCCAGCCTTCCCTTGGCCACGTGGTGAGAGCCACCATCCTGAGTACTTGCTCTTCCCTCTCAGGGGCATCCCAAGAATAACATGGGCCAGCCATGGACGAGGTCACCTTCAAAAGTGACACTGTGCTATCTGATGTCCACCTGTACACCCCCAACCAGAGACACCTCATGGTGCGGCTGAATGGCATGGGGCAACCAGGTAAGATACAGGCCTGGATGGGGCAGCCTGGTGCCTGGTGGAGCCCACTTAATCTTCTCCCTTTTCTCATGCTTCTTTTGGGGGTAAAGACTGAATTGTTTAGTTGTCATCTTTTTTTGTCACCTTTTTTTTTTATTAAAATTTTATTGCAAAAAAAAAAAAACCTGAAAACAAAGTTCACACACCAAATTTGACCAGACCTAAAGTCTATATGTGAACTTTTATACAGTTGGCCATTCTGTATATTTCTATACAGAATAGCCATTCTGAAGCCTTGCAACTTCACATTGGATTTTATGGTTTCACTATCCCACCACCTGCATGCAACCGTGCACACACACACACACACACACACACACACACACACACACACACAAATTCATGATGCAGTTTAAATTAGAACAGCAACAAACTTTGTTTTCTTTAGTGAATCAAGTTCCTTTACTTATACTCAGCATGTCACTTAAAGTGTCCTTCCTTCACTGAGCACATGCCTCTGCTTTCCTGAAAACCTGCTGAGTGTCACAGGAGTGACAAGCAGGAGTGAGTGATCCCACAGTCCTCGCAGGAATGATGCGTGGGTGTGGTGTGTGTGTGTGTGTGTGTGTGTGTGTGTGTGTGTGTGTGCTGCCTGTGTGTGTGTGCTGCCTGTGTGTGTAGGCCCCCGGTAGTCACCTTCATCCTGTGCCTGGCTGCTCTGTTCCCTTCCTCCTCAGCTTCCTGTCTTTTCTCCTGCACAGCCTTGCTGGCTCCTCTTCCTATAGCCAAGCATAGCTTTGGAAAATGCAAACCCAGCCATAGCACTGCCCTGACTTGGATTCCCCATGGTACCCCATGGCCCCCCATGGCTCTAAGGGACATGGGGCCTTCTACTGGGCCTATGAACCTTAGCCAGTGTGCCCAGACTAGTCATCTTCCCCTCCTTGATCTCTATTGCCACCTTCACCTCTATCTGTCCCTCAAATTCTGCACCACTTTCCTTCTTCAGCCCCAACTGCTGGCTGTCTTTGTAAGCCCTACAGCCACCTTCCCTAGTCAGTTACTCTGCATTCATTCATTCTTTGGTGTGCTTATTAATAGTTGTCCCAGTTTGGATAACACATTATACCAGGCATTGGCAAACTACAGCCTGTGGGGCCAAAACTGGCCCTACTTTGTTTTTATAAGTAATGTTTTGTTGAAATGCCACCAGGCCTGCTTTGTTTGTATGTTTTTATGACTACAAACATTTGGGTAGTTGCAGCAAGGATCATATGGCTCAAATAACTTAGGATATTTGTTTCTTGACCTGCTGAAGAAAGATTTGCTGGTCCCAGCCTTATATTGGTCGCCACTGTGTGTCTGTAAATATCTTGTTTACTTTAATGTTCCAACACTACAACCCCTAAATGTAAGCACCCTAAGTTGCTACATTCTACTTTGTAGCCCCACAATGTTCACAGTGCCATTTTCCTGGGAGATGGTGAACAGTGAGCTGTGTCTGATAAAATCAGGTGAGGGAACAGAGGTAGAAAGGACGGAGGACTCTGAGGCAGCCTCTGTGCTCACTGGGGTTGGCTTCGGCTGGCTTGCAGTAGATGCCCTTATTCCTGGGATGCAAGCTTGGAAACAGACTCAGAGCAAACAGGTGCCTGACCCAACCTAGTACTAAATATTTTCAAGTCCTCGCTCTTTTTGTCTCTGGCACAACTCCCCTGGCACATGTACACTTACTGAAATCTGTCTTGGTGACTTTCTGGCCATTGTCTTGCCATCCTTAAAAAGCTGAAGCACTAGGCACCCTGGGTCTGTATCCTGCCTGGGCCATTTTACCAGCTCATTCACCCACTGAGCCTCAATGTCTTTGTCTATAAAATGAGCTAGTATACTGTTTTCATGGTGACTCTGCAGTTAATCACATGACACAGGCCATGTGCCTGCACAGGCACTCCCTCAGCAGAGGCTGCTCCATAAGGGGCTGCTGCGCCTGCTCTGGTGGCCACTGCTGAGTCCAGCCAGCCTTTGCTGCTGCTTGGTCTGTACAAACCATCTGGCCTTTAAAGGTATCTGCAGTTGAGCTGGATATGTGGTTCACTTAGTAGAGCACTTGCTTAGCACACGCACAGCCCTGGATTTGAACCCCAGCACCACATAAAACTGGACATATGGTGCTTGTGTATGATCCAAATACTGGGTGGTAAAACCAGGAGGATCAGAATTTGAAGCACTAGGCACCCTGGGTCTGTATCCTGCCTGAGCCATTTTACCAGCTCATTCACCCACTGAGCCTCAATGTCTTTGTCTATAAAATGAGCTAGTATACTGTTTTCATGGTGACTCTGCAGTTAATCACATAACTACATAAGGTACCTGCTAAAGCATCCCCAGTTAGCAGTCCCACTTCTCAAAGAAGAGGAAATGGACAAGAGCCTTGGCATTGCCCACTCTGTTTTTGTCTCGCTTACAGTCTTCCTGTCCCAGTTCAAGCTCCTGTGGAGTCGGGACTCTTGGACACACTCAGGGGCTGAGGACAGTGGTCCCAGAGATGTCGCCACACAGGAGACCTCTCCTGCTGGGTCAGAAAGTGGCCACAGTCATGAGGATTTGTCCCTCCAGGCTGGGGATGACATCACCATCCAGGAACGGTTGAATGTTCCCCTGGATGAGGATGGGGACCTGGATGTGGTACGAAGACCACGAGCTGCTTCTGATCCCAACCCAGCAGAGCCTGCAAGAAACAAGGTACATCCCATGATTCTAGCACAGGAAGAAGATGACCTCCTGGGAGATGAGGAGCAAGAGAACTGCCCCCACAGCATCATCAAAATAGGTAAATAAAGGTCTTGTTCTCTGGCCATCAAGGCAGCATCACAGTGGCTGTTGGAGCACAATAGAGTTTTGGGTATCAGCTCTGAGTTCAGAAGTGATGCTAGTGAGCTGGGAACAGGTAATGCCGCAGCTATCAGAGTCTATTCCAAGAGTCTTGCTCAAGACTCTTCAGTGGCTCCCCATTGCCTTGGGGATGAAATCCAGATGACTCAGCTTAAAAAGCTGGAGTGACATGGTCTCCACTCACCTCTCGCCACCATTGAACCTTATGACCCAAGACCTTTACATGTTCTCCTCCCTTCTGGTTCTCTGCTGGTCTGCACTTTCGACCTTGGCTGCTTGCTACCGACCTCTACTTTTAGCACATTCCTAAGTGCCCCAGGTCCCAGCTCAGGTACCACTTCCTCCAGAAAGCTCTGCTTCTGCCTCCTGCTATCTTTTTCTCTAACCCAGTGTGCAAGAGTGCAGGTCAGGACAGAGTTTGTGGGGTGCTTGGCTGAGCTCAGTGGAAACAGGAAGCCATAGGAAAAGCAGTAGCCAGAGAGTGGAATAGAGAGAGATGTCAGTTCATAGCAACCTGCCCTGGGCCATTCAAAACGGTTGGAAGCTGGCAGTGGTAGGCAATGAGAAGGACAGGTGATAAGGCCCCAATAAAGGGATTTTGACAGACACTCAGAGACAACACTATGACAGGCAAAGCAAGGGTCTGAGGACCCCAGGTGTTGTGTGACACTATTTCTAGAAAGACATGAGCAAACATCTGATAGGGAATGTTTTTCATATATACGTTTGTCTTATTGGTTGATGAATAAAACATTGATTGGCCAGGCAGGATGATAGATAGGACTGGGGGACAAGGAGGATTCTGGGAAATGTAGGCAGAGAGGAGTCATCATATGATCCCAGGAAGTGACATAGCTGGGCAGAAACTGCCACTAACTAACTATAGAGGTCTGGAGGTCTGTACAGACAGGCAGGAAGTGACATAGCTAGACAGAATCAGGATATAAGCAGGGACAAACAGGAAATTGCTCTTTTCTCTGTGGAGATGCTGAGCAGTCATCAGGTAACAGGCAAAGGAGTTGCAGGTCTAGCATATCCCCATAAGATAAGACCACGTGGAAATACTTAGATTAATAGAAATGGGTTAAAAATTAAGACAGAACTAGCTAGTAAGAAGCTCAAGTCACCAGCTAACAGTTTCATAACTAATATAGCATCTGCATATTCATTTGGGGCTGATGAGGCTCTGGGTCCAGGCTGGCAGGAAGAATGCTTGCAACAAATATCTACTCATCCCAGATAGGGAACCGAAGACAGACCAAAGTGAGGATACCATTGAAGTCTAACTTAGTGAACCTATGTGTTTTATTGGGTTTACTTACAAGAATATGGGTGAGGGATCACTTACAGGAGCAGAAATGACTCGACACAGCTTGCATCATCAAAGCTCACCCCATCACTGGTGGTGGCTCCCAAAAAACGGCAACCCTGAAGCACAACTGCACAAAACAGAATATGTGTTGCTTACTCAAGAGTGACAGCTGCCCACCCTTGGTCAAGCCTCATCCCTTTACCTTTATGTCTGCCGTCTAGTGTTTATTGCAGCTGATATTCCTGGGGTCACCAGGAACCAAAGCACACCTACTTCCAGCATCCACCAAAACCCAAATATTTTAACATTAATAGAAGACCAATAAATCTGTAACTTAACATGGGTGTTTTCAGTCCCCTGATTCTAGTTTGCTTTCTATTGCTGTAGTGAACATCGTGATCAAAAGCAACTCAGGGAAGAAACAGTTTATTAGGCTTATGTGTCTGATCACTGCCCGTCACTAAGAGAAATCAGGGCAGGACCCATCGAGAACACTGATTAGTGGCTTGCTCTTAGCCTTATATTTGGCGGCCTTTCTTGATTGTTTATTGACATAGTAAAGCCCAAGCACTATGAACAGCGCTACCCATGGGCAAGTGGTCATGGACTGCATGAGAAAGGGGAAAAAGCCAGGAAGCATCATTCTGCCATAGTCTGCTTCAGGCACTACCTCTCGGTTCCTGTCGGTTCCTGTCTTATATGCCTGTCCTGTCTTCCCTTCATGATGGACTGATGTACAGATATAAACAAAATAAGTTGCTTTTGGTCAGTGTTTTATCACAACCATGGGCAAATAAAACTGGATGCTTCCCTTCCCCTCCAGGACAAGAGTAACGGAGTGTGTTGTACCACAGTGACTCTGGCCTCCACTGAGCATGTGTTAGGAACACTGTCTTACAAACTTGTTGGGAACCTTTATCGTTTATTACAGAAGTAGCAATTGATATTCTGGGTATCAACTCCAGAATATTTGTTACTGTGAATTTGGCTGTATATAGAACAAAAAGGCCCCAGAGAAAGGAAATTCCTTCTCACTGGAGCATCAGCAGTAAGAGCTGCACCCTCCGGATCTCACACTACAGAGCCTTAGTCTTCCCTTTGATATAGCAATGAGAAGCCCCCTTTAATCAGTTAACAGCACATATTGCAAGTCACGCCTGCCTCCCCCACCAGACTTAAGTTTGCCAGGATATTTTGCAAGTCATGTCCAGAGGAGAGACATGAGGCACCTGCTTTTCTCAAGATCCTACCCACCTTCCTGGCTCTGAGAGCATGATCTTTTGTCAGAGAGTTGTTAAGTGTGCTTGTGGATACAAAAACTAGAAATCTTGTGGGATAGGAGAGACTTCTGGAGAACTTTTGGAGACATTTTAGAAAAAACTTTAGAGAATTTTTTTTAATTTTTTATTTTTTTTGAACTTTAGAGAATTTTTAAGGAGAACTTTAAGAGAGCTTTTAGAGAAAGAACTTTTGAGGTGAGAGCTTCTAGAGAGAAATCTTAGAGAGATTTTGAGGAAGAACTTTTTGGGAAGAACATTTTCTTGAAGAATAAAGAGCCATGGAGGAGCACATGTGTGAGTCGGTTTATTTCCCTCTCACCCTCAGGCTCCTTTTAGAAAAACCCTCCCCGCCTGCTGTCTAGCCCCTAGTCTGGACCCTGAGAGAGTATCAAGGTTGGAACTTGAATGCTCTCGTTACAAGCTAAAGACAAATTGCCACAGGAAAGGTGGAAAAGCGACCTCCCCAACTGCCGCTCCTACTGCTTTCCTGTGGCCTAGGGTCTTTAGACTTGGAAGTTCTTCTCTGAGCCAGGGTTCTCATCTACCTCAAGACAGCATTCAGAATTTCGTTCTGAGATATTTTTGAATTCAGAATATATAGCAACTACTCTTCTCATGAACTTTTTCTTTTTCTTTTTTCTTTTTCTTTTTTGGTTTTTCAAGACAGTTTCTCTGTGTAACAGCTCTGGTAGTCCTAGAACTTTCTTTGTAGAACAGGCTGGCTCGAACTCACAGAGATCCCAATGCTGGGATTAAAGACATTTGTCACCATTGCCCAGTTTCTCATGTACTTTATACATATACATATACATACATACTTACATATTGAAACTTACTGTGTTAGCTTCTGGTGCAGTTGTAAGCATAAGAAAATACTTTGGCAGTAGCTGCAATTATTAGCATGTAAATATATTTCAGTTTTAAAATGGCAGTTCATATAGTGTGATAAATGTGTGTGCTTTCACTGGGTTGAGACCTGATGTGCCCCCTGATTCCTGGGCCACAGGGCAGTCATCTAGTGACCTTAAGGGAAATGGGCCACATACCTGGCCTCAGTGACACTCCTACCTGCTCCCACCTGGCAGCATAGCCCATGCCTCTGCTTCTCTTTTGGTCATTTAACTCTACTACCCATCCAGTCAGGCTGGCAGACTGCCACATTGCCCCTCTCTCTGTCTTCTGTCTACCTTCACTTCACCATGGATGTTTTTCTTTTGGTTTCTGTCCTATCTAGAGCATACCATGGCCACACCTCTGGAGGATGTAGGCAAACAGGTGGGTAGGCCCTGTCCATTTCCTGTGGCCCCTGAGGGTCTCTCCAGAGCCTCAAGTCACCTGTGGTTCTATGTCATCTCTCTTGCAGGTGTGGCGGGGCGCCCTCTTCCTGGCAGACTATATCCTGTTCCGAAGGGACCTCTTCCAAGGATGCACTGTGCTGGAGCTTGGTGCAGGCACAGGACTTGCCAGCATTGTGGCAGCCACCATGGCGCATACTGTTTATTGTACAGGTAATGACTCCACTCTGTGGCTCAGATGAGGGACTGCTGGGCTCCATGATACATGCTGTCTATAAAAGTGAACAAGGTCACCAGGAGATGGACACCAGTGGCTCTGGGTTTCCCCAACTTCCCCTGGTTCTCCCGCTCTCCATTTTTTTGTCCACGTGGCACTCAACACCCAGCCATCACAGTGTCACCCTGTAGCCACAAGACCACTGTGCATGCAGTATCTGGTGCCCTTTCCCTGTTCACCCTCTAAGGAAGAGCAAACATCCTGAGAAACCTCTAAGCTGTTCTCTGAACAGGCATCACACACTGCTTTACCATTTGTGTCTGATGATAGAAACAGGGCTTGTTCTTAGGACAAAGTGTAAAACAGATAATTAAAATGACTCATAATGTTACAATCCCCAGAGTGACTCCACAGTATGCGATGTATTAGACACTGCTGTGGGCCAAGAACAGTTCCAAAGCATAAGCAAAGCAAGTCCTGACCCCAGGGACTCACCAAGAAACTTACTTTGAACCATTCATGTATGAATGTGTGCACGTCTGCATGTGTGTTACAGTCTACCATCTTTTTGTAATTTATCTTTTTTTTCCGTTTTTCTTTTTTTCTTCCAGGTTTTTGGTCTGTTTTCAAGACAGGGTTTCTCTGTGTAACTTTAGCTGTCCTGGAACTCACTCTGTAGACCAGGCTGGCATCAAATTCACAGAGGTCTGCCTGCCTCTGTCTCTGCCTCTGCCTCCCAATTTCTGGGATTAAAGGCCGATGTCACTACTGCCCAGCGTAATTTATCATCTTTTTTCTCTTACATGTTCTCCTTTTTTTTAAGTTTTGTTTTTTGTTTTTTAAATTTTGAGACAGTCTCACTGTGTTTCCCAGTTGACCTGGAACACATCTGCCTCTGCCTCTGCCTCTGCCTCCCAAAGTGCTAGGATAAAGGTGTGTTCCACCATGCCCAACTTATTTTTAAATTTAAAATTTAAATTTAAAATTTAAATTTAAAATTTTAAAATATATATATATTTTTAGTCTGCTCTTCCAGACTACCCAGGTTCAATTTCCAGCACTCATTTGGCAGGTCGCAACTATCTATAACTCCAAAATCTGACACCCTCACACAGACATACATGTAGGCAAAACATCAATGCACATAAAATAAAAATAAATAAATTAAAAAAGAGAGAACAGCATGGTATCTCAACCTTGGAGCTATCTTTCCATCACCCTTTATACTCTTAAGGAATAACTAAATCTCTATAAATAGTTACTATATACTATGAGTATAAATATAAAATAAATAGTTATTATATACTGTGTGAGTGCACACCTCACACACATACACAGAGCCACAAATCTTGAGAAGTATTTCTTCAAGAACATGTTCCTGTGTCCTTAAAACTTATCCTAAGTGTAACTTAATAACTAGACCATTTTTATCATTTTGTTTACCTTGCCAGGCATTCTGGTCATCCTGTGCTTTTTCACATTTGTCAGTTGCAGCCGTGAACACCTTTGTAATCCTTACAGTGATAGGCTGGGCAAACTGATTTAACATTTAAATTTGAAATTACATCAGATTCACACGGAAGTTCCTGAAATAATCTAGAACGTGTCACATAGCCTTCATCCAGCTTCTAGAGATGCTAACACTTTAAATGACCATACCTCAGCAGTCCCACTACTGGTGGTGGCTCCCCATGAAAAAAACAATGGAACCCATGTGTCATGGTGCACCCTTCTGTCATTTCAGATGTCGGCACAGACCTCCTGACCATGTGCCAACGAAATGTTGCCCTCAACAGCCACCTGGCTGCCACTGGAGGTGAGGACCGGTATTGGGGGGTTTGAGAGCAGGCAACACTGTCATCCAGTGGGCACAGTGTTGGGAGTAGCATCTCTTTGCATCAGATGAAGGGAAGATAGAGGGCAACTGTTTCATTGGAGCATATAGATGACCTGGCCTTGGACACAGTGAAACCTTCCTGACATCCCTGGGCTGACAGACAAGTCCATCCCCTCCTCCATGTGTTTGTTCATTCTGTTAGTATTACCTCAATCACATAGTCTCAAGTCATCTGCTGACCTACCAGCCCCTCTGGGTGGCCAGTCTCCAGGGATCAGGACCAGGACTGACAGATGTTTATATTCCCTGTAGCTGTCACTGAACACTGAAAACATGTGGGAAGAGAAAGGGGTATGGGAAAGAGGGCCAATAGAGGAATTGGCAGAAGGTAACTGCCCAGTTAGATGGTGAGGATGATGGGAGAGTTGGGGTGCTTTTTGTTTCCCATTTATGTGCAGTTTGGGAGTTCTGTCTACTTTTTTGCAGATGGCGTGATTAAGGTCAAGGAGCTGGACTGGCTGAAAGACGACCTCTGCACAGGTGTGTGCTTCTTACAGTGTTGCCTTAAGTTCAGTGGCTCCTCTGTGGTACCCAAAGGTCTCAGCTCTGTGGCCTAAGTGAGCCACAGAGTCCTGGCTGCCTCCACAGTCCCATATCTTGTGGAAGGTTTCCTCCACATGCTTCTGAGCCCTAGCTAGTCGTTTACTCTTGCCACATGCTGGGCACTTAACTGCATGCTGCTGTTTACACCTCCCTCTCTCTGTGTGTGTGTGTGTGTGTGTGTGTGTGGTCTGGGACCTCTGGGTCCTAACCACTTCCCAGGAAGCCCAGCAAGTGGCTGGGGAGTTTAAATTCTTCCAGACATGTCAGACCTGATATTCGCTATTTATACAACATCATCTTTCTTTTTCCCTGTCAATAAGGGTAGTCTTACTGTCACCTCCCTAGCACCTTGTTGTAAGCCCTTGATCCTTGACCTTCCCAGCCATCTTCTGAGAGAGGTTTTAGTAGGCCTTTCTGTAAACACAAAAACTGAATCCAGGGTGATGTAACCTGTTTCATGGTCTCACACAGTGACTAAATTTGTGTGGTGGTAGACAGATAACGTTCTCACAGGGCTCCTGGACAAGTGGCAAGAATGGATGGAACCCACAGGCCCCTCACTGGTGGGAAGGGTGCCCCTTAATGGTGTGGTTGTCCCCAAGGTGCAGGGCATTCTGTCTCCAGCTCTATCTTTCTTTCTCTTCCTTCCTTCCTACCTTCCTTCTTTCTTCTCTTTCTTTTCTTTTTTTTTTTTTATTTTAAACAAAACCTCATTTAGGTAGCTCTGGCTGTCTTGGAACTCGCTCTGTAGACCAGGCTGGCCTCAAACTCACAAAGATCCACCTGCCTCAGCCTCCTGAGTGCTGGGATTACCAGGTGTACCACCCCACCCAGCTCAGCCTTGACTCTTGTCCTGAAGCTCCCTTTGGCTGCTTTGTAATAAGAGCTGGTGGCCAGCAAAGGAAGGAATGGCCACTCAGTCTTCTCTTCTTTGACAGATCCCAAAGTCCCCTTCAGCTGGTCAGAGGAAGATGTCAGGGACATGTATGATCACACCACAGTGCTGTTTGCAGCTGAAGGTGAGTGGTTCTCTTTCATCCTATGTCCTTGTCATTACCCGAGTCATACAGTATCCCCCTTGTGCAGAGGGCATGAGCTCCTTGTGCTGATAGATAAGCAGTAGGGAAACCAGAAATGTTAAACAAGCAGGGTTATCTTAACGGAGGAGCTGTATACCTCTTTTCTGCTCGGAAACCTGGGAGTGGGTGTAGTTAACAGCCTGCTGATGTGCGCTCTCTGTAGAGCCAAGCCACACCACATCCCCCAGAATGTTATGTTTGTCCCTGGCTCTTCCTGCTTAGACCTTTATCTTGAGCATTGTTTCTCAGTCAGAGAACCCATCCCCAGGGGTGATGTTACAAGTCCAGATCGTCTCCCAGGCCCTTAAGCTATAGAGCCATTCTTACGGAGTACTTTGTCACATGTACTTTGCAAAAGAGTTTCGATGTATTCACTCCTTAAGCTTTATTGCAATAATTGTCACCAGGAAACCTTTTTGCAAAGTTATACTGGGCTTAAATATGTCCAAAATAAACTGTCTGGGGTCAGACTCTAGAAGTTTGACCAACGCCAGCTGACTAAGTCCTGTTGAACCAGATTTCATTCTTGCCTCACACGGATGTTACTTTGCCAGTCCTGGTGTTTGCAGAGACCCCAAATCCTTACCTGCTTTGAGTGAATTCTCCAGAGAGATGTCAAATTAGCACCTTCCCTGCACTGGAAGGCACTAGCAGCCCTAAGAATGACTCCTTCAACTTCATCTTGATGAGTAAGAAGGGAGCTGCTTATGGAAGGACAGTAGCTAGCTGTGTTTCCCCAGAGTCACTACCCCACCTTACCAAGCTCCTATTTTGTGTAACTGTCAGTCCATAGAATTGACAAAGACCTGGCTTCAGATCATTGCCCAGTGTCAAAGCAGTGGAGGTGACTGTAGGCACACACACACACACACACACACACACACACACACACACACACACACGTAAGTAATTCTGGGAAAGTCGAACATTTATGCCTATTCTGTCCTTGTCCTTACAAAGGTCTCAGCAAGCACTGCCCAACTGGCTCTGATTTGTTGTGGTCTGCCATGTGGAACAGATAATAGCAGCTTGCTGTGAGACACACTAGTTAGGACTAGCCTCACTATGCTCTTAGAGACATCCTAGAAGCTCCTTTCCAGACCATTCTTCCATAGCTGCTACTGTTTGTGTTGATAAGTTCCACTCCATGGTGTTTCTGTCGATCCCTCTAAGTACACTTTTTCCCCAATGCCCGTCTTTCCCCAGTGTTCTACGATGATGACTTAACCGACGCCCTGTTTAACACGCTCTCCCGACTCGTCCACAGACTGAAAAATGCCTGCACGGCTATACTGTCGGTGGAAAAAAGGTGAGCTCTGCTGCTCCACAGCTGCACCCTGACTGTGGTATCTGCGCTCACTCGCTGCATCTGTCATGCCCTGCGGTTGCTGGGCTGCTGCTCACCCCTCATATCCATCTCCTCATTTAATCTGTGTTACACTTTTATCAGGCACAGCCAGCCTGGTCCCATTTCCAAATGGAACAGACAAGGCTGAGACACACTAGGGTGCTGGCCTCCAAGTCACATTGAGGTAGTGCCAGATGAGGACCTGCCTGGGACCAGACCCTTCACCACCTGTCATCTTCCTCATGCTAAGGCCATCATCATTAAGGACTGCCATTAGTATCACTTAAACTTTGTTTTTCTATGAAAAGGAAGTTTTCTGTGTTCCTATGTCCTCAATAAAACTTAAAAATGAAATGGTCAGTAAAAATAAGAATGAAGGGACTCCTTTGTGGAAGCCACATATTTCCTCATATTGTCTCTGTGCCCTCTGCTAGGACCCCTGCAGGGTATCTTTGCTTCAGTTTTGCCTCTTCCACACCAGCTTTTGGTTCAAAGCTGAACATCTTGGGCTCTCATCACAGCATAGTTTATCCCAATAACTCCCAAGTCCCTCCTTCAGACAGCATCCAGTAGAAGCAAGGACCTCATTTAGATCCTCATCCATAGACTATAAACAAGAGACTTAAGGCAGATGGGAAAAGCTGAATTCTGTAAATGACATTTTAAGTTACTGTTTGCATGGCCAGGAGGATCAGAAGCTCAAGGCTAGACTCAGCCATATACTGAATTCAGGCCTACCTGGGCTACCAGGAGACCCTGTCTCAAAAAATACAATAACAACAACCACCACCAAAAACCAAACAAACAGCTAGGCGTTGGTGGTGCACGCCTTTAATCCCAGCACTTGGGAGGCAGAGGCAGGTGGATCTCTGAGTTCGGGGCCAGCGTGGTCTCCAGAGCAAGTGCCAGGATAGGCTCCAAAGCTACACAGAGAAACCCTGTCTCGAAAAACAAAAAAAAAAAACAAACAAATAAAAACACAACAATCAAGAACCAAACAAAAGGCTATTAATTTCATTTTGAGGAAAGAATTGATACCTTTCCTAGATATGTACATATGTATTTACTGGTGAAATGCCCAGATGTCTGGTATTTGCTTGTTGATGAGGGAGGTGTGAGGGACTCTGAAAACAGGAACAAGTGACTAAGAGTCAGTGGTAGCCAAAGCTGGCCAATGGCTTCATGGCAACTTGCTATACAGTCATGCTTGGATATTTGAGATTTTTTACAATAAAAGATTAGAAAAAGAAAGGGTCATGAAGATAGTTTAATGGGTGAAGCACTTGGTAGACAAAATGAGCATCCCCAGCATCCAGGAAAATGCCAAGTAGTGGTGGCCTCCAGATTACAAGCCTGGGTTCAACTGAGAGACCTTGTCTCAACATAAGGTAGAAGAGTATGTCAGCCTCTGGCCTCCACACTTACACATACACACACAACACACACATGCAGAAAAAAAGACAGATGAACACTGATTTCACGGTAAATCATTTAAAGATTGCCTGTTCCACAGCTTCTCGTTCCCCCTTCCCATAGATGGTACCCACAGCACCCAGCCAGCAAATCTGCCCTGGAATCTATTTGCAGCAACTCTTGAGGTAGGCATCCGCCTTTCCCAGGTGTCATCTTGGCTCCTTAAATCCTCGTCTGTGAGCAGAGCCGATAGCCGTGCTCACATCTGTGCAGGCTCTGGAAGGAAGCTGCCTAAAGGCTGGATGCAGAGTAGACTAGTCCAGACCCAGTGGCGGGCACTAAGTGGGAAACAAGCTGTGAGGATGCAATGGAGTGAGCCCTTCCTGGTCATGATGAGTGTGTTGCTCCTGCTCAATCCACAGGTTCAACTTCACACTGCGACACTTGGATGTCACCTGTGAAGCCTACGATCACTTCCGTGCCTCCTTGGACTCGCTGGAGAAGCTGGCTGATGGCAGGCTGCGCTTCATGGTGGAACCTGTGGAGGCCTCCTTCCCGCAGCTGCTCATCTATGAGCGCATCCGGCAGCTGGTAGATGCAGCCCCCCCCCCCCTTGTGAGGGTGGTGGGAAACAAAGCCATGGGCCAGCCTTACCGTCCCATCCCATCCATCATATGCCCAGGAGAGGCTGCAGATTTAACATTGTCTGTGATCCCTGGGGTGTCAACCCATTCTCAATAGTCCCCTTGACTAGAGCAGCTCTATGGCTGTCTCGTGTTCTTTCTCTTTAGGCAATTAAGACTCCAGAGGAAGCTAGAGGGCAGGCATCAGTTACTTTCCTCCTTGCTGTGACATGTGTATGACCAAAGCAACCTCAGAGGGAATGTTTATTCTGGGTCACATTTCAAGAGGGCATAGTCACCATGTCAGGGAAGACTAGGCCACAGGAGCAGGTGGCAGCTGGTCATATTGCACCCACCCTCAGGAAGCAGTGAACAGGAAGTGGGACTAGCCTGCACACAGTGACTCGCTTCCTCTTCTCCTGCAAGCCTCCACCTCCTCAAGGTTTCACACCCTTCCTAAGCAGTGCATCCACATGGGGACCAAGTGTAGGAGACACTCCAAATTCAAACCCCAACAAAGCAGAAGGCCATTTATTTGGGGAGCAGTAAGTCAGTGGGAAGGGCCAGGGAGTCCTGCAGCTGGTAAGGCAGGTCTGGGTGCTGCCTGATGAAAGCAGTGGAAGGAAATGGGGGAGGGTTGGTTTCACTCCCAGTGTGAGGGGGTTGCCCCTCACAATGGGAAAGTCATAGCTGCAGGAGTGTGAGGCAACTGGTCCCCGGCATCCACAGTCAGAAAGCAGAGACAGGTGAATGCTGGTGCTCAACTAACTTCTCCCTTTTAAGTCAAGGGCCCCAGCCCATGGTACAGTGCCGCCCACATTTAGGATGGGTTTCACCACCTTAATTAACCCAGTCTAGAACTCCCATCACAGACATGTACAGAGGCTTGTCTCCTGGGTGAGCCTAGATCCTGTCAAGTGATAGTATTGACCATCATGCTAATGGCTACATCGACTCTGTGGAGATGCTGCTGCTTCCCTAGCCAAGCATGAAGGCTCATACTAGGCCGTGGGTAATCCTGCAGTTGTAACCACATGTGCTTAGTGCCATACACCTTTTGTCCACTGCCTTAGTTAATGCACCCAGCTAGGCACTGGTGGTCTGGGACGTCACCTTATAGCCAAGGAACCTGCTATTACAGCTTTTAAACCCAACACTTAGAGTAAATTTGAAAACTCAAAATTACCCTGAAAATTACCAAGGGCTGGATTCACAGAAGTCCATCTGGAATCCTGAGTTCTCTCAGCCTTTTGGCCATAGAAATCAGGCCTCGTTCTTAGGAGAGGGAAGGCAGTGACAGAGGGAAGGGCCTGGCTTTCTCAAGCTCCCTCCTTCATTCCTTCTTAGGAAATGGAGTAGATGCATACCACAGTGGTTAAGGTCCCCGAAATGGCAAGACTGTGACCACTTGCTGCTATTCCTTCAGTCCCTTGTGACCATGTGACATGCCAACATCACTTTGGCTACTTCTAGACTTGATCTATACAGCCACGGTGCCACTATATAGTGGCCAGAACCTTGAAGACAGGAAGGCCCCCATCCCTGCCCTGGTGTCATAGCTCTGCTATGTGACTCCTCAGACCCTGTCATTTCTGTTGTTGCAGGAGCTCTGGAAGATCAGAGTGGAACCAACAGCATGAGTCACCTCTGATGTGACCTCTTGACTGTTACTTAATATATTTTGAATAAAAACAAACCCTCTGTGCACTGAGATACTGTCATTTTAAACACAGTGAGTGAGTGGCCCTCGAAATACCCAAGCTGGTTTCCTGGATCCATCACCTGCAGCAATAGCCCCAAAATATTGTTGCTCAGAGTGTGGTGGCTTGGCTCTCTCATGCTTGTCACACAGCTCCCAAGTGCTCCCAAGACACTTGGTCAAAGTAAGCAAATGATCTGTCTGACTGCACTCTGGTTATTTCTATGGTGTATTTTCCTGTGGGGGTGGGACCATGACTGTGTCATCACTTTTCAACTTCCACTTGCCCAGCATATGTGAAGTCCTGGGTTCTATTGAAAATTATATAGAGGAGGGCTGAGGTCTAGCTCAGTTGGTGGAATATTTGTCTAGCAGATGCACAGAACCCTGGAATTCATCCCTAGCACCATGGGTGTGGCAGTACATAGCTGTAATGCCCTTGTTAAGAGGTATCCACCAGCCGGGCAGTGATGACACACGCCTTTAGTCCCAGCACCCAGGAGGCAGAGACAGACGGATCTCTGTGAGTTTGAGACCAGCCTGGTCTACAAGAGCTAGTTCTAGGACAGCCTCCAAAGCCACAGAGAAACCCTGTCTCAAAAAACCAAAAAAAAAAAAAAAAAGGTATCCACTAGAGATACTACTCATACACAGGTTTGTGCCAATAGAAAGTCTTAAGTTGGATGTGGTGGTGCAGGCCTTTAATCCCAGCACTTGGGAGGCAAAGGCAGGTGGATCTCTGAGTTGGTGGCCAGCCTGGTCTACAGAGCGAGTTCCAGGACAGCCAGGCATACACAGAGAAACCCTGTCTTGGAAACAAAAACAAAAAGTCTAATTAACCAGCTGGTGACTACACTGAGTGTTTGAGACCCAACTGCAGTCCTGAGCCTTTCTCAGGGTGGGCTTTTAAGCACAAAACCCACATCCTGGGTTGACATGCCTCAGTTAGCAAGAACAGTTAGCCAAATGAAGACTGCAGAAGCCAGAAAGCAAGGCTAGTCCTTTCTCGGAATTATGGAATTTTGATTGACTAGGTCTTTGTTCCCATTCTGGTAGATGTTGGTGTCTACATGCTGGTTTTCAAAGCATGGATGGTACTTCCATCATGGTTTCAGTTGTGCCAAGGGCTAGGGTCTGATACACCAGCACTCAGGAGGATGAGGCAGGAGAATGAAAGTTCAAGGTTGGTCTGGTGAGATGGCCGCTTGTAGCAGAGTCTGAGGACCTGAGTTCAGATCCACAACACTGACATAAAATCTAGGCATGGCCCTGCAGAGGGGAGTGGAACAGGCAAAGACAGGCAGATCTCTGGAGCTCACTGGCCGTCCAACCAAGCTAAGCCAGTGAGCTCCAGGCTCTGTGAGAGCCGTTATCTCAAGGTAGAGAGCACTGAAGAGGACACCTGCCCTCAGCCTCTGCCCTCCACATGTACTGAATAGAAACTTTGGAGAACAGTCAAGCAACCCTTGAAGCTCATTGGCCAGCCAGTCTAGCCAATTCAATCAGGGCCTAAAAGGAGAGATGGACAGAGAATAGATACTCAACATCAACCTCTGGTGTACACACACACACACACACACACACACACACACACACACACACAGCCTCTCTAAAATGAAATATCCTTCAAAATGACCCCCACAAAGGGCCAGGCATGGTGGCACACACTTTTAATCCTAGCCCTTGAGAGACAGAGACAGTCGGATCTATGTGAAATTGCGACCAGCCTTTTCTACATACTGAGTTCCAAGACAGCCAAGGCTACATAGAGAGACCCTATCTCAAAAACAAAGAAAAGGAAATAAACCAGACAGGAGACCCAGTGAGTGACAATTCCCTAGCACTCTGGGAATTTATGCAATTGTCCCTAAGCAGTAGACTGGTGCTTTCACCCAGCTCATGGGGGCAGGCCACTTTTATGTCTAAACCACTCATCCTAAGAGCTTGCTCCTGGCAGCCCAGAATTCCGCTTGACTGTAATTCACGGTGCCATCAGAGCTTCACGTCCCAGTCCAGCCTCTGTGTTTTACAACTTCCAGAGAGCCTTTGCAAGAGCTTTTTGCAGCAATATTTCAGGATCATCAAACCATTGAGATACATGGTAAGTAATTAACCCAAGCCATTGGACTCAATTTTTTTCTTGACACATTATAACATTATCAGAGAAATATATGGCCCAAAGAGATGATGTGGCTGCTCAACCATAGCCTGGACAGAAAAGATTTGTTCAATCAAAAAAAGCATGGTTCTATATCCCTCTGCTCCCCCACCAGCTTCTTAGATAACTACATCTGGATCAGTAGAGGTCCAGATGCTACCAATTCTAACCTGGTTCCTAGACAGAGCCTCCCTCTGCAATTAACATGCCCATGGTATGTTCCATGATGGTGGTTCAGAGCACATGGGTAACACCAAGACTGCAATGTGTCACTTCTGGTTGTAGACACACTCAAGGGCTCTGAATTTGAGTCCATTGCTAGAGTGCTTGCCTATCATGCATAAACTCCTGGGTTCGATCTCTTGTGCTACATTAAACTGTACACATGTCTTTAATTCCTGCACTGAAAGGCAAGGGAAGACAATCAGAAGTTTCAGGTCATCCTTTACTGCATAGTAAGTAAATCTTAGGCTGGCCTGTTGAGACCCTGTCTCAACAACAGTGAAGGCTCAGTCAGTAGAGTGTAAGTGTGAGGACCCGAGTTTACTCCCCAGGCATGGCCATGTGATGCACTGTGGCATGCACTTGGAATCCCAAGTCTGGGGAAGCAGAGCGGGACCTCAGGAGTTCAGAGGCCAGACAGCCTAGCCTGCCTGCGTGGTGAGTTTCAGGCCAGTGAGAGACCATTAAAAAAAAAAAAGGTAAAGAAAAAGGTAAAGCTCGGGAGATGGCTCAGCAGCTAAGATCACTGGCTGCTCTTCAGAGGACCTGGGTTTGATTCCCAGCACTCATAACTCTAGTCCTAGGGGATCTGGTGCCCACACAGTTTTATTGCTGTAGGCAGTAAAGCCTTCATTAACTGGAAGTTCAGCAAGCCTGCTTACTACTTTGAGACTCAGCTGGTAGTGAGTGAAGGCTGAAGATGACAACGCAGATCCTCCCCATCCCGGATGTTTGTGTTTGGAGGACCCACTTGGAGAATACTTACCCAGGCTTGGGAGCACAACTGTATTCGTGATACAAACTCACTACCACCAGCCATGCTGTTCCCTCACAAGCTTCACCTCCAAACCGTGGGGAAAACCTGACTTTAGACCAACCTAGGACAGCATGCTCCAGGGAAGGATGGTGGCACACACCTGCAATCCAAGAACTAGAGTGACAGAGGCAGGAACATTGTTAGCTCTAGGCCAGCCTGGGCCACATAATGAGGCAGACCCTGCCTCGATTGAAAAAGAAAAGAAAGGTCAGCATGGTGGCGCACACCTTTAATCCCAGCCAGCGTGTGGGAGGCAGAGGCAGTCAGATCTCTGAGAGTTTGAAGCCAGCCTGGTTTACATAGTTTTAGGACAGCCAGGACAGAGAGAGACAGAGACAGACAGAGACAGACAAAAACAGAGGAAAGAACAAAGGGACAAGAAGTCATAGCCTCTCAGAACCTAGTTGCTATATTTTTAATTTTTATTCATTTATTTGAGTGAGAGAGAGAGAGAGAGAGAACAAATGGAGAATCATTGTAACTGTGATACCAATGTCCTTTCTCTGTGACACCCTTTAGTTCATACTTTCAAGTCTCTGTGACCACAGAACTCAACAGATATAACTTAACAGGGCAAAGGCTTACTTTGGGCCATGATTTCCAAGGGTTTCAGCCCACCATGGTGGGGAAGATGCACTGTGAAACTGAGGACACACAGGAGCCAGGGTCCCAATAGACTCTTCCAAGGCTTACTCCTAGGGACTGGCTTCTCCCAGCCAGGCCCAATGCCCTTAAGATTCCACAGCATACCAAAGAAGTACTGCCAGTCTCAGTCCAACAGCTCTGAGGGACATCAGATTCAAGGCTCAGTGCCCACCATGCTCCTGGATCCAGAGAATGCTGTCCTGGAAGTAACTGCAGTCAGGGCCCTGGGGAACTTTTCTGAGGTCACATATTTGTTGTGAGGCATGAAGTCGGGACATATAGTTCCAGAGTCCACCACTCCAAGTAACTTACCCACATGATGAAATCAAGACATGGCAACTTATTAACATATGAAACTTATACACCACACTGCTAAACATCATTAACCCCAAGGAAGGAGAAGTGTAAAATGTTAGGGTGCATGCTGTATGCACATATTTCCTTATAGCTAGTGTACATTGTTTCTGAGGAAGTTTTGTTTTAACATGTTCTTCCTGTGTGTATGCAGTGCCCACAGAGGCAGAAGAGCATCCCATGCCTTGGCACTGGCCTTACAAACAGTTCTGAAACACCCCGTGGGTGCTGGGAATTGATCCTGAGTTCTAGAAGAGCTGCCAATGCTCTTAACTGCTGAGCCACCATTCCAACTGCCTAAGTTTTTTGTTTGGCTTGATTCTGATTAAAATGATAAAATGTTGGAAAGTAGAGGCAGAGTGATCTCTGAGTTCAAGGCCAGCCTGAACTACATAGTGAGTTCCAGAACAGCCAGGGCTACACAGGGAAACCCTGTCTTCTTGGAGAGGGAAAAAAATAAGATAAAAATAAACTTACTACACACACCTCATAAAGCCATCCTCTACTAAGTGAAAAGTTTCAAGACAAGTTCGTCAAACCAGCCATTCTTTTTGAAATATGGTTCTGTAACCAATTTAGAAAAACAAAAACAATTTCGGCCCAAAGAGTCTTTGGGCCGAAGAGGAAGACTTAAAGACATTGGAAGACCAGTTCTCAGGTGGGTTTGGGGCTGCAAGATACTGTACTCAGCAACACACCAAGTCCCAAAATATATAAAATGATACAACAATGGGCCTTCTCCATCACTGAGGGAATTCAGAGCCAGCCTGAGATAGAGATCCCTTGGGACTGGCTTTTGCATTCACATGCCAGCCT